GATGTAAACAAATCATGAGGTTTGACTGCGTGTGATGGGATAATTTGATCATTTTAACTCAATTACACTATAATCCACGTGATATTTAAAAGAAAATGATATTTGAGCTTAAGAGTTCCAACTTCTGACAGGTTTATGATTATTTAATGAGTCATTATTTTAGTTACGGAGGAGCTGACAATTTTTGTTAGGTAAATACTTAAAAAAAAATTGTGGTTGGACATAAATACAATGGAAAAATTGCCGGTTATTGAAGTTAGTGAAGAGAATTTCGTTAGTGTTTTACCAGCTATAAGAGATGCGATCAGCAAAGCTTCATTTGTGGCCATTGACTGCGTGAGTATTTCATTAATTTGAACTTTGTATATTATTATTATATTTATTTTATGCAAAGTACATATATCTCTTTCTGAATCTGCAAAGAAGTTACATTACACATTATCAACAAGTTCAGGTTATGGATACTAAGTAAAGACATCCCCTCATGCATGTACAAGTAATTAAATATACTCTTAATGAATAAAGACTAAAGTGGACCTGGAGCTTTTTTATTGAAGTATTGAAATTTCTTTCAGGAACTCAGTGGCCTTGGACAACGGAAGAAGATCAATTATCCAGAGATAGACTTCCGATATCAGTATATGGCTGAAGTCGCACGCAAATATGCAGTTGTGTCCCTGGGTTTATCTTGTTTTACCTGCAAGTCAGTGAGCAATCTGAAAATTGAAAATAAAGAAGGTATTTTATGTTTTTTTGTGTGAAACTGGTACTCTCAGTTTTCATTGAAAGTTTAATAGTGTAAGATATAGATTTTCTTTCTTTCCAATTTTAAGCTATTCATGAATTCATTGATGAGAGGTAATGGAATATGAGAAAACATTGTGACCTTTCTGTTTGTCATGAAAAAGGATTTAGTTGTAGTATGGCTGTATATCTTGCATGTGTCAGTCAAGTTATTTTGCTTACATGTATGTTTACTCTTGGTTGTTTGCGCATCCCTATGTCTTTCATTAACCCTTTCGGATTTATGTTCTGTCCCCTGTAGTTTTTGGTGAATTTTTTTTACATACAGATGGCTCCACATGTAGTCAGCCGGCAAGGAGTCTATCAGTAGGCCCTAGTTACTGATCATGATTTCCCCATTCCTTGAATTGGCAGGAAAATTTGTTTTTCTTATTAAAGCCATTACTATCAATACTGTTATTATTGTTATTGATGTTACGATTACTAAATTGTCATTTAAATATTTTAGACAATGAAATGATACAAAAGACCCTTTCCTATAGTGAAGGAAAAGGATAAACAGGTGAGATAGGGGTAGTTCTGATAATTGGCTATTTGGTGATTAAGAACTTGTTGAGTCATCTATGTGTAAATACAATAAATAAACATGTATTACAGCGGGCATGGCATGTATTCTTGCCACATGGTGCGAATGGGTTATCAAAAGTAAGAATACACTGAATACTTAAGTAAACTTCTACAAGCCAGCTATACTACCTGTGGTATATGAGTGACACTGGATTAATAAAAAAGATAAAAAAAAAGGAAGAAATGCAGAAAAAGTGTATAAAAGATGTATTAAGCCTTTCTACTACTGATTCATAAAGAACAAAAAAAATTATCTGATATTTTGTATAAGGATTTTTTCAATAAATATTTGCATCATAGGAATGGTTTTCAAGTTCATATTTTTCACCTTTCAGGCTAAACAAATCACTTGGGGCTCCTTAATTCAGTGTTGCCAGGCAGATGTTGAGCACATTTTATAATTTTTTGTGAAATATCTTTGCACATTGATGGCTGTGCAAGTTCTTAGCCACAAGGAGTCAATTAATAGACTTTGTGACCATACCTGATGTCACCTTTCCTTGAATTTGGAGACAAACGTATTTTTAATAATGCTATGAATATTGATGGTGTTATTTTTATTATAGACATTATAATTACTATAATGTTATTGACATTAGTAACAGCAATATGAGGTAACTTTAGATATTTTTGAAAATCAAGGAAAAGGGTAAACAGGCAAGACAGGTAGTACATGTAATTGGCTCATTGGTGATTTAGTACATATATAACCATGTATGTGTAAAAACAATAATGTAAACTCACAGTGGGCATGGCATGTACTTTCATACCATCCCTGTTGGCTTTGGGTTATCATTAGCATTTTATTTACAGGTGGATGTGGGCAAGTCCTTAGCCATGATTATCTAGTGCAGACTTTTAACTTCATCACATTATGTTCTGATGACTTCACCGTAGAGTGTAACTCATTCAAATTCCTTGAAAGACATGGCTTTGACTTCAACAAGTTATATGCCAAAGGACTGCAGTATTACAAAGGATGTGATAAAGAGGTATTTTGCATAGTTCCAATATTTGTTTACCCTTAGTAAATAAATAAAATAAAAATGTCAAACACAGTTTTTAGTGTGGCCACAATTTCAGCATGTTTATTACAAGATAAGTGATTAGCTGTAATCAGATTAATCAGAAGTCTTAAAGCATTTTTTTTTCTTTCAGAAAGAGGAGAATCCAAATATTCGTCATGTATTGTCAAACATTCTAGAGCACAGAAAACCTGTTGTGGTTCACAATGGCCTTTTAGACTTGGTATATCTTTATCAAGCTTTTTATGCAGAACTTCCCAAAAAATCTGAAACCTTTGCAGCAGATCTGTCAGATATGTTCCCATGTGGTGTTTATGATACAAAGTATATAGCAGAATTCCATCAGTCTGTACCTGCAACATATCTGGAGTATCTGTACACAAAAATGTAAGTGCAAATATCTGTCTCAGGAATTGCAAAGATTAGAAGTATTGTGTAAATTTCCCCCCATCTAATCCTAAATGTGTGTCTCAGCTTATCCCATTGATGTCAGGAGTGCATCTGTATGTGCATTGTTCATTGTGGTTTCCTTTTATTAATATTGTTTACACAGAAGCATATAAGTCACACGGTTGTCATTTACTAGACATACCTGCTTGATCATATTACATCACTTCTTTCCACTCACACTGCTCTTTGTTCCTGACTTGAATAGAACAGGCCCACTCTGACAGTCAACATACAATCATTCTTGGTCCAGGTTGCCCAAGCTGTAGTGGGCTTGGACTTACGTTCAGATGCCAAAAATTCCTAGTCACATACTTACCAGATATGTAAGAAATAAGCACAGCACATATTTAGAGACCAAGTATAGGCTCATTTGGTCATCTGTGATTATGATACTTAGAGGTTTATGTGCATGTGAATTGTGAATTGTTCCTTCTGAATTTATGATTGGTGGAACCCATGTGAAGCCTACAGTCAACTTAATTTGTATCATCATTCTCTGTGTGGATGACTGGATAGGCAAATATTGCATCATTTTATGTCAGCATGAGATAAAGAGGATATGCAGTGGGCTTGATTGGCAATTTTTCATCATATGAAAGGGATGTTACAGCAGGCAATGGGGATAAGGAGTGACATCTGCCTACTTGTTTACATTTGTGAAACCAACTTTTCTCTTCTTTTATGGACTGTATAATGAATAAATGTGTGAGGCTGCTGTGAGTTGGAGAAATGAACTGAAATGTTAATAATAAACAGGTCCATTGATAATCTTGTGTTCCCTTTTTAAATTAATGTAGATACTCACTAATGACATGGCAGTGCTGTACCATATGTCACTGGATGATGCACAATCATGATTTGATATGTAGATGTCTAACAAATACTTAATGAGCTTTAAATGTATTGTGAAACTAAAATATCTGTAGCCTTTCCATGGCAGTCATCACAGTGTTGCAAATATTTAGGCTTATGTTTACTATCAGTTTCATCTTTTAAGAACACTCATGTGTGCATAGCTGGAGCATTTGTCAGTCTCCATTAATCTCAGACAGTATTTAACTTTTACACAAACCAAAGTACTACAGCTTTGTAAAGAGGGTTGATAATATTCTCAAAGCAACATGGAAGATGATGAAAAAGACTATACCATGTTAAAGGCTAAAAGTAGTCCTCATTAATGGCTCAGTTTATATTTGTTGTAAATTTATATAATAGTGTTAAGTTCATATAGCGGACTTGTTTTTTTTCCCTCTCAATGCCATGCATATCTTGTTTTACTTGCTTGTAACTTCATATTAAAATATTCACTGGTTTAAGTATGAGTTTATTACCATTGTTTCTTATATGTATTAAAATGATCATATTTTTTTGTCAAGACTGTTGTATCCAGCATGTGGTTAGTCACATATTCTGTAGATTGCAACTGTTTCACATTTTATATTGACTAGAGTAGTATGGAAAGTTGCATTAATTAAGAATCTGTATATTAACTGGAACTTTCTCTAAAGAACATTTACATTCACTCATATTCAAAGTAACTTTACCCCTTCTTACAGGCAGTTGAAGAATGCTCACAGAGAAGTTTCAGAGAAGTGGCACGTTAGGGTAACTTTCCCCCCTTACCCAAGCAACCTGGCCAACATAGACTGGTACCCATACTTACAGATCCATTCATATGATGTCAAGAATGATGACGACGGCCTAGAAGTTTGTGATACATTTGCCGTAAGTATATCCAACGGGGTAGAATTTTCGGTTGGTAACTGAATATGTCATGTTCAAAGTAGGGGATATGTTTTCATAAAATTACTCGGACTTCATTGAATGAATAAATAATTTTGGGGTTTGCAGTATAGTTAAAAATTCCACTGGGAACACTAGTACCCCATCCAGTGTATATTTTTAAAAGTTTCTGTTATTAATTTTTTCCACTTAACTTTTTCCCCTTTGCAATTTTGCTTTTCTAGGCCTAAAAAAGTGATGTGTTATTTTTTTTAGCTTAGAAAAGTGTTCTTGATTATATAGGTTCAAACACACTAGTTCAGCAAGTAACAGATTTTCCAGGCAAAGAAGTTTACTATAAAAAAAATGCAAAATAATGCATAAACTGCTCTGTATCACTTGGGAAGTCTGAAATGGAAGCATATTTGGGGAAAAACTATTAGTAATCAAATGAGATATAGCTGTATCTACCAATGGAAATCAGTTGTTAACCCATTGAGGCCAGGCTGATTATTTGCTGTTCGACCAGGACATTGTAGGAGCAGTTCCATTGGCATGTGGTTAACCCAATGCTGATGAGCATGGTACGTTCATAAGTGCCATGCCCACTGTGAGTTTACTTTATTAATTGTTTTTACACATAGATGGCTACACTTGTCCAAAGTCACCAATGAACCAAATGCAAGCACTACCTGTTGCACCCATTTACCCTTTTTGTTAATTTATGAAAATGTTTTGTTATCTTATTTTGCTGTTACCAATGTTTATAGCATTATAGTAATTATAATGTCTATAATAAAAATAACACCATCGATAATTCATAGCATTGTTAAAAAATATATTTTTCCTGCCAAGATACATTTTTCCTGTCATTTCCTGCCAATTGACTCCTAATTTATCATGGCTGATTTACATATTAAAAAGAAAAAAGTATATAGGTATTATACACTTTAATATAGTTAATATTATTTATTTTTTTCAGTATCATGGATGGTGCTCAAAAGGTAGTGAATGTGGAAACAGTCATAATATAAATAAAATAGTCAAACAACTTCAACCTAAAGCAGCAAAGAAGAGTAGTTCAACCGGCAGAAAATTCAGTGGGCCAAAGACAGGGTCACTGGTGCACATAATACAGCAGGCCGCAAGGAAAGAAGAAATGGAGAACAACAAAAGAACAAATGAGGACCTCGAACCAGAAAGGAAGAAAAATAAAATCTCGAGCATCAAATCAGGAAATATGAGGAATGGAAATGAATCATGCCAGGAACATAACAGTGACTCTAAATCCAGTGGAATAAATAATCAAGACAGCAAAAACGCCGGAAGTCATAAAGCTGGCTACGATGCCTTCATGACTGGATTCATATTTGCATCCTATGTAGCAGAGAAGGGAGTGTTAAGTACTAAAAACATCAGTTACACAGCAGACAGTTTAGGTCTTAGTGAGGAAAATAATAAGATGTATTTGGTTGGAAAAAATATCCCATTTCTGATAAGAACTAGTGCATATGCAAACATGTCTACAAATCACATGTCAAAAATTGCAAAGATCAGAAAGGACTGTATGAGATAAAGTTATAGTGAAGTTATATGTGTAACATATCATCCTACTTATTTTCAGTTTCTATTAATAGTGTAAGAGTGGAAGGTGAAAAAAATGCATGCTGAAGAAAAAACATATATTCTACTATTTTGTAAAAGAAAGTTATGGGAAAGATTGATACATATTATCAGACTATTAACTATAAGTGGGATGAATATGCTTCTGATTATTGGAATTCAGAATTAGTTCCCTTTTACCTTGAGAATTTAGCATGCAATTTATCAGATCACGGAGATAAGCTTTTATATAAATGTGGGATACATATGCAGTGTATTATGTTAAATTTATGTTGAGAAAATTTTGCTTAGAACACTGAACACAGGAAAGTGGAATGTCTGTTGAGATATATGCAGAAGTATATTAAATGTTGCTACTGCTGTTGCTGAGAAAAAAAGCTGGTCAGCATCCAGTAAATAGTTATGTGACATCTAGAAATACAAATGTTAAAAAAATAAGACCACCCAATGTGTAACAAGAAATGTTTAAATGTTTAAAAGTTGCCAGTGAATGAAGAGTGAAAGCACAATGGGGCAAGCACTACAGAGCATAGCATAGTATTGTATATGGCCTAAGGCTCCTCATCACTCAGGCTCTGATTTCATTTAAGCAGAAAGACTGGCAGACGACCTAAACCTCCATCACCATAGTTGGTAGTAGTGGAAACTCATCATGTCTGTCTTGGATGGAAACGAGAGCAGAGTGGAAGGCTCACGCGTTGCTTCCACGATAAGAATAGTGTGTCATAAGTATGTGGTGTTAATAAGGGCATCAGTGTAATAAATATTATAGTAATAAAGTCAGAAATTTATCAAAGTAAAAAAACCTAATGTTTAAAAAAAAAGAAAAAAGAAGAAAAGGAAATTTACTGTACATAAAGCTCCATTTCAAGTTGGCATGTATAACTATAGCTTCAGTATAAATGTCAGATAAGATCCAAGAAAATGTATTAACTTTTACCAAGAATTTAGTGCAGTCCGACTTAGAGAAATTAATACTTACTGCACTCATTACTTCTAGTATGTACTCCCTAGAAGAGAAAATGAAACAAAATATTCCTGATTCAATGGACCAATATGCATAATAATACTGCCCTCTTCTTTAGCATGATGTCCCTTTTTTTAATTAAAATAAATAACAACTGATAATGTAAATGAATGTTAATATTTCTAAAGATTTCAAAAACAAGAGTAAACAAATCTTTGGTATTGTACTTTTTCTTTATTCAGTAATGTCAAATATTACTGATTTATGCTTTAAATCACTGTTTTATATGATTTTATATAAATCAATCCAATCAAGATTACCAGGTGCTAGAGAGACTATAACAAAATTAATTGTCTCCTATTATATAAAATAGATTATGCAAACTTATTGTTTAAACACTCACTAAAAAAAAAAAAAAAAAAAAAAAAAAAAAAAAAAAAAAAAAAAAAAAAAAAAAAAAAAAAAAAAAAAAAAAAAAAAAAAAAAAAAAAAAAAAAAAAAAAAAAAAAAAAAAAAAAAAAAAAAAAAAAAAAAAAAAAAAAAAAAAAAAAAAAAAAAAAAAAAAAAAAAAAAAAAAAAAAAAAAAAAAAAAAAAAAAAAAAAAAAAAAAAAAAAAAAAAAAAAAAAAAAAAAAAAAAAAAAAAAAAAAAAAAAAAAAAAAAAAAAAAAAAAAAAAAAAAAAAAAAAAAAAAAAAAAAAAAAAAAAAAAAAAAAAAAAAAAAAAAAAAAAAAAAAAAAAAAAAAAAAAAAAAAAAAAAAAAAAAAAAAAAAAAAAAAAAAAAAAAAAAAAAAAAAAAAAAAAAAAAAAAAAAAAAAAAAAAAAAAAAAAAAAAAAAAAAAAAAAAAAAAAAAAAAAAAAAAAAAAAAAAAAAAAAAAAAAAAAAAAAAAAAAAAAAAAAAAAAAAAAAAAAAAAAAAAAAAAAAAAAAAAAAAAAAAAAAAAAAAAAAAAAAAAAAAAAAAAAAAAAAAAAAAAAAAAAAAAAAAAAAAAAAAAAAAAAAAAAAAAAAAAAAAAAAAAAAAAAAAAAAAAAAAAAAAAAAAAAAAAAAAAAAAAAAAAAAAAAAAAAAAAAAAAAAAAAAAAAAAAAAAAAAAAAAAAAAAAAAAAAAAAAAAAAAAAAAAAAAAAAAAAAAAAAAAAAAAAAAAAAAAAAAAAAAAAAAAAAAAAAAAAAAAAAAAAAAAAAAAAAAAAAAAAAAAAAAAAAAAAAAAAAAAAAAAAAAAAAAAAAAAAAAAAAAAAAAAAAAAAAAAAAAAAAAAAAAAAAAAAAAAAAAAAAAAAAAAAAAAAAAAAAAAAAAAAAAAAAAAAAAAAAAAAAAAAAAAAAAAAAAAAAAAAAAAAAAAAAAAAAAAAAAAAAAAAAAAAAAAAAAAAAAAAAAAAAAAAAAAAAAAAAAAAAAAAAAAAAAAAAAAAAAAAAAAAAAAAGAGAGAGAGAAAAAACTACATATCCATTTTCCCATTTAGAAGAAATGCTTTGCTCTTCACTTGCTTTAATATATTTAAGATTCACTTTTCATAGATTTTCATAATTTTGAAAGAATAAAATAAGATATGAATAAACATTATCCAGTAATAGAGTAACAAAATCAAGATCTTTAATATAAATTAATTAAACAATGGACGCTGTCAAAGTTTATTAACATTTCTTGCATAAAACACTTTATGAAAATCTGTAAAAATACACTTTCAACTTAAATCAATAACAATCATAAAAATCACATTCAACTCCTGGATAATGCTATGGTCAATTATTCATATTTGTCCTTAATAAACTGGGTAGGAAGAATCTATCTTGTTGGCCCAAGCTGTCAGCCCTCCTATGATATCTCTGACTTCATATTCTTCTCCTAACAACTGTGACAGCTCTAAAACGGCCTTTTGTGAATCGTTCCCTCGTCGACATATGCAAAACACTTTCTTGGTTCCATGACTTGCCAAATTGCTCTGGATGATATCCCGGCTCTTCTCCTTCTCTATTTGACTCATTGGAATGTTGACGCTGTTTGGCAATGCACAAATCTCTTGCTCGACTGGTAATCTTGTGTCAATAAGTATGTGTGGTGTCTTAGAATCCCTGAGTGATTTATATTCCTCGACTGTGATTCTCTTTTCTCTGCCAAGAAGGCTCAGGCCTGTATCCTTGTCTGTTGCTGCTGCTCCGCAAAACTGTTCATAATCTATTAGTTTAGTGATGGTAGGATTATCACCGCATACTTCACAGGTACTTTTGTGACCGCGCAGTTTTACAGTCCTGAATGTGCCGTACAAGCCATCGAAGAGGAGGAGACTTTGAGATAATGGTGATCCAATGTTGGTAATAATCTTAATAGCTTCAAGGGCCTGTAGACAACCAATTGTTCCTGGTACTGCACCTAGAACTCCTCCATCTGAACAATTGGTTACAGTCTCTGGTGGTGGTGGTTTTGGATGAAGGCAACGGTAACATGGGCCACCTTCGTAGTGGTAAACTGTCAACTGTCCTTCATACCTTAGGGCTGATCCAGACACAAGAGGTTTGTCTGCCATGACACAAGCATCATTGAGTAGGTATCGTGTAGCAACATTGTCTGTACAATCAAGAATGAGATCATATTTTGATATTAACTGTAATGCGACTTCACTTGTTAGCACAAAGTCATAAGGCAACACTTCAACATCTTTATTTAGTGCATTAATAGATTGTGCTATAGAAATGGCTTTGGGTACACCAATCCGATCTTCTGTGTGCAGCACTTGCCTATGAAGGTTGCTTATTTCTACAACATCATAATCAAGCAATCCAATGCGCCCCACACCAGCCGCAGCAAGATAGATAGCTGCTGGGCAGCCTAAACCACCACAACCAACAATCAGAACCGAAGAACTTAGCAGTTTCTTTTGCCCCTTTGGTCCAAGTTCTGGTAGGATCAACTGACGAGAATACCTGGCAATACCTTTATTATTGAGTTCAGCATTTGTCCTCAGTAAATTGTGACACGGGAGATCTTTTAGTGTAAATACTTCAATATCTTCAGCAGAATTTTTACTCTGGTTCTTAAGCTGCTCCTTTAAAGTCTGGATTTCAAGTTCCTTTTTTCTGAGCTCCTCCAATAACTCTTCTTTTGTTCTGTCGTCCATTTCTGAAAAATATACATTTCTACATTAATAGCTAATTAAAGCATAGAAGAAAATGTTATATTGTTAAATGCAAGCCAAATATGCTTTGTTTTTTCTTTTGCTATTATGTTAATCACTAGAAAGACTGAATCCTACTGAATATGCAGGATACTGAGCTCAGAACATGGAGAGATCTATTTTTATATTTAAACTGGTAAAAGAAAAAAAAATGAGATATAGACTAATGCATAAGATACATGAACTTATTCTTCCTTTTAAAAGCTATAGTTCAAAAAGCATTAGACCAAGAGTGAGGATACTCAATATCTAATCAAAATGACTGAGTGAGCTACATTAAATTAACAGAATATCTAAGGCAATATTTCTGTGTTGCTTAATCACTCATGGGTAATAACTTAACTCAGGAAGGCACAAATGATACAAGTCATCATTATATACTAAAAATCTGGTAACTACAGAAGCCTCGTTGGCTTTGGATAACCATAAAATTAGTTAATAAGAAAGGATGAATGTTATTCGCTAAAATCTGCTGACAGCATAATCTGGATTATCTTAATGAATAAAGCTTGAAGTTAAGGAATGTGTATATTTTACTTTTTGAACAATAATAGTGTGTAGTGCGATACCAATGTTTTTCCAATCTATTTCTTGATTATCCTTCCTGACCTCCACAGTTATAAAGATCATTGCTATGCTAATATACTGCAAATAATACCTAAAAGTTTATAAAAAAAACATTTATATATATAGCCTAGTTAGTCACACAGTAATGTTGATGACTGAATATGATAATACCATAATTGATATTAATAGCACTACAATTTACAAATACTAAAATAAAAATAAAGTTATTTCAATCAATCAAGTTCATAAATCTAAATTGACATCACAAAAAAATATAACTTATTAATAGTTATTATTTTGGTAAATCTTATCACAGACCTTTTATGAGTCATTATTTTGGTAATTCTTATTAGGGCTTCCTTGCCAGTACTAACAATATTGGTAATGATAGACTGCTTATGATGTGTATGTATGAATACATAGTGATTGTAATACTGTTTCAATACTGTTGTTAAAAAAGTTTTATAATTTTCTTTCAGAATTTTTTTAGTTTCTTTGATTAAATATCCACAAGTAAACATTTTCTATAACATGGAAAATTAGAGTAACTGCAAAACAACTTTGCACCAAACGTTGGCAATCAAAACTTTCTCTCAAAAAAAACAGATCATTATCTAACACACCAATATGATGATCAAATCTACTATATTGTTTTCTGAAAGAAAAGACAATCAATCTGAGCCATTTGCTCCACTAAAATATCCCCAAACCATGACAGACTCTGAATGCTCTACAGTACCTAGGCTTGTCAACTTGACATACTCTGCAAGGACATCTTTACTTTCACAGAATGGATTGCAAACACTTGAATGTGCTTACATCAGGCTGCTTAGCCTTATGTCACTCTTCTTTAGTCCAAGAAGAAAACTTCTCAGCAAAATTCTGTGCATTCGGTTGGTGGGGAGAGAATTATTTGTAGTGATACTATTCAGTTACTGAAGACCTTTTTTACAGATGGTGTTATACTGTTTCTTTTCTAGAGTTTAGGGTGACTTAATTTTTAAGTTGGGAGGCAGTGAGATGTGAATTCTTTAGTAGTTTATGCTTGATAAGCCTATCTGTAGTCATATATCTGACAAAGCTGACCACCAGTGGATTTATGTTTGGGATTAATCTCCACTGGGAAGCTGGGAGCAGCAGAAACTGGTAAATGATTGACTAAGCAGAGCCACTGTATAAACACATCTCTGGTAATAACTAAAATAGCACAGAATGTTTTAATACTTCCCATCATGGATCTCTGGACTATAGATTCACCAGTGGCAGGTGCTTTCCCCCCCCCATACAGTAATTTTTACAAATAATCTGTCAACCTCAAGACCAAAGGTTTTTTAAGTGACTGAATATGCACAAAATTCATAGTATGAATAATAATATTGATCTTACAAGGACTGTCGTTAGCTGCCTCAAACAATATAACAATATAGCCCTGGCTGAACTGTGGAGGTTCTTGGAGCAGTAGGAGTCATGGCACACCAGGGTGCAGACACACACTGGCTTACTATTAAGTCCTGTCCCCTTGCCCCCTGGGGTTAATGGGTGGCTGTGGGGAGGCGGGCCTTGCCAGTCTGCCTCTCCAAGAGAACCCAATTTGCAATGAATCATATAGATGCTGGTGCTAGGGGAGGACAAAATTCCCTCCCACTCAGCAAGTAAGGCAGGCTGTAGGTCCTACTGGGGTTGGCAACTTCTGGGACTCAGACTGGGAGTTGGGGTTACCTGTCCTCTCCATATTCCAGTGGCATGAGGCTTCTGGGGCAAAGCCCATGGGACCCCCACAGGTAGATTATGGGACCTGCAGCCAGCCAGCCCTTGCTATATGGGGAAATGTTGGTGAGGGTGGCAGAGGTGGCGTCCATCTAGAGTGACTGCCCAAGGTTAAACGTTAGGTGGACCATCAGGATGGGGGTTTAATCATCTGCTCTTTGTGACAGGATGATTGGTTGCCACTGCTGTTGAGGGAACTGAAGTGGTTAAGGTGGTCTCTCAGAAGTGAGAAGACCTGGTAGCGGCATGATCAGTGTGGGCGGTTACACCTACTAATGGTCTGGCTGCAGCAATGGTCACCTTCAGCCCTCAGCAGTAGAGACCACTACAGTCAATGAGCTTACATATAGCTTTATGTCTCAAATTGCTGTGTACACTCTACTGATGTTTGTATACTTGAGCGTGAAAGAGATGTTTTACGTCAAATTCGCATCTGTGACAAACAGCTGACTTTGGTGAGATATTCACATTGTTCTGGGTAGCTTTAGTGTGTTAACTGGTTGTGATTAAGGTGGCGATGAAATGCCTGTCGGACCTGATGGCTCAGGAATTGATGCTGGCAGTGAGAATAGCCTACTTTTCCGGGACTTTGTGATGTCCTAGAAATTAAGGATTTCTGGCTCTTGGTACCAGCTCTCTGATCTGCATTGTTCCACATGGTACAGAAATGCAGGTAATGTGGCCAAGGAGGTCAACCACATCCTATCTAGAACTCATTGGAGAATTGTCCAGAACTGCAGCGTATACTGGATTGCTGAGTTCTATGGTACTGATCATAGATTGGTTGTGGCTGCCTTCCAAGTCCTCTTTAAAACTTCCTGTCTATTCAATGATCACCCTAGGGTGTTTCCTGTGGGCAGGTTGAGTGAGGGGAGTGTTCCCGGGGTTTGCTGAGGCTATCTTTAGTCATTTTTCAGCACTCAGAGACTTGACGAACCCTTCTATTGCTGAGGGACAGAATTTCCTCTTGCAGGACTTGGTCACGGCACAAGGTACAAGTAAAAGTTTATCAGGAATCTTGAAGAGGAGGTCAAAGACCATTCCTTAGTAAATGACCTTCATCCTGTCTACCAAGCCATGAGAAAGCTGAATTCCAAGCCCTCCTCACAGGTGACTGCAGTCTGTTCAATAAGTAGCTTGATCATCTCAGATGTAGGAGCATTGGGCTGAGTTGTTGTACCAGGTTGATCCACTAACAGTTAACTTGGATGCAGGTAGTGTCAAGATTCCTATGCCAGACCCACTCACATGTAAGGATCTACCCTCCCTAATTGAAGTTAGAGGGGTAATCTCAAAGCTGAAGAATGGTAAAGCAGCAGGTATCTGAGGCAACCCAGCTAAACTTTTAAAAGTTGGTGGTGAACCTATGGCAGGGAGTTTGCATGCTGTCCTGGCTGCCATTTGGCAGACTGATTCCATTCCCTCTGACCTGTTAAGGGGAAAGGGGATTGATGGGACTAGCAATCACCGAGGCATTACACTGCTCAGTATACTAAGTAAGGTTCTCACTCACATCCTTCTGAGGCACAAGAGACTCAAGCAATCTCGATTCACTCCTGGTAAGCCCACAACAGACCGTATTCTGGCACTTCGAGTCATTGTAGAGCATCGTTGTGAGTTCAGGCTTGGGCTGCTTGCAGCTTACAATGACCTCAAGAAAGTGTTTCATACGGTGCATTGTGAACCACTCTGGGAGAACATTAGACTAAAAGGAATCCCAAAAAGGATTGTTGGATTAAAAGCAAGCTTGCATACTGGTTCTGATAGTGCTGTCAAATATGGTGGGGCCTGTCCACCTTCTTTCATATTAGTTTAGGAGTGAGGCAAGACTTTTCAACAGTTGCACGGACTGGATACTGAGCAGAACTACTGCCCAAAACCATTGTGATGCAATTCTAGGCAATATCAAGGTTACTAACCTTGACTTTGCTGACAATATTGCTACTCTGTGAGTCTCTGAGAACCCCAGTAGTGGCTCTAGATGCATTTAGCAATGAAGCAAATCCCTGGGTCTAGAAGTCTCCCTGACCAAGACCAAGATCCAGGACTTAGGGGGCCTGCTAGGAGAACCTGTTCAGTTGGTGCATGTTGCAGTGAGGATATTGAAATCACAGAGAGCTTTACATACCTTGTTAGTGTAGTTCATGGGCTGTCAGACCACAAAGTTAGAAGATGGACTGGCCTGGCAGCAGGGGTCATGAATTCTCTCAATAAAAGTATTTGGAGATGCCAGTACTTGTGCAGGAGCGAGCTACATGTCTTGAAGGCCCTGAAACTGCCAGTTTTACTTAAAAATGGATGCTATCTTGTGCCTTGGAATCTTGTCTTGATGCCTTT